TTTTTTTTTTTTTTTTTTAGTAGGAGACTCACTCTGTCACCCAGGCTGGAGTGCAGTGGCACACTCATGACTGCTGCTTGGCTTGGTTGATCCTTCTGCCTCAGCCTTCCAAGTAGTTGGAACTGCAGGTGTGTACTTGCATGCCCGGCTAATTTTTGTGATTTATTGTAGAAACGCGGTCTTGCAAAGTTGCCCAAGCTGTTCGCGAACGCTTTGGCTCAGGCAGTTTTCTCGCCTTAGCCTCCCAAAGTGCTGGGGTGACAGATGTGAGCCACTGTACCGGGCATTCCTTTTAAGGCTAAATAGTACTTCCTTGTGTGGATGATACCACATTTTGCTTATCCACTTATCCGTTGGTGGATAGACATTAGGGTTGCTTCTCCTTTTTGGCTGTTGTGAACAATGCTGCTGTGAACATTCCTGTACAAGTTTCTGTGTGGACAGATGTCATTTCTCTTGATATATACCTAGGAATAGAATCACTAGGTCATCTGATAACTCTGTGTTTAACCTTTTGGGGAACTGCCAGGCTGTTTCCCAAAGCAGCTGCACCATTTTATACAATTTTTAAAAATTTTTATTTTAAAGATGTGGGGTACAATTCAGGGTTAGGTATACAAATGGTCACTGTACAGGTAAAGTTTGGGCCTCACTTTGGTCCCCACTTCACCTGGTTTGAGATCACGTACCCTTACTGGTGAAGTGTGCCCCCTGCCCCATGATGATCTTTTCACCGACATCTTTAGTAGAAGCATTTGGGAAACAGCGTCAAGGTGAGAAAGCAAGTGGCTGCCCACAGCTGAGGTGGGCTCTGTCAGGGGCTGGGCTGTGGAGTAGAGGGAGACTGTCCAGTCCTCTGATTGGCTGAGGGGGATGGGGCACACCCCGGACATCCCAGGGCAGGGCCCCATCAGCTCTGGGCTCTGCATGGCATGAGACTCAGCCTGTGCCCCTCACCAGTGCATACCCAGATAGCCAAGGGCAGAAGGTGGGCACCCTGCCTGGGCCTCCACACAGCCTCGTCCCAGCACGAGTGGTAAGGGATGATGGTCCCAGGCTACAGAGGCGGAGATGGCTTCAAAGAGAAGGGACCTCCATGCTTGGGACGTACATGGGCACCTGGTTTCTGTCGCAAACCAGGGAGCTGCTGACATCAGGGCAGCACCAGGCCAAGGCCAGAGCAAGGCCAGGGCCGAGCTGGGAGCTGCCTTCCCGTGTGTGTATTTCCTATCTGACTGCTGCCTCTGTCCCCCCAGCCCCAGGCCATCTACTGCAAGGATGTTCTGGACATTGAGCAGTTCTCCACAGTCAAGGGCGTGGAGCTGGAGCCCACCGACCAGGACTTCTACCAGAAGTTTGCCACGGGCAGCGTGCCCATCCCCTGGCAGAACGAGGTGCAGGCCTGCCCGCTTGGGACGGCTCCGGGGGCAGCCCCGGGGCAGCTCTCACGGCTGTCTGTGCCTTGGCAGATGGTGGAGACGGAGTGCTTCCAGGAGCTGAATGTCTTCGGGCTGGATGGTGCCGTTCCCCCAGACCTGGACTGGAAGGGCCAGCCGCCCGCGCCCCCCAAGAAGGGACTGCTGCAGAGACTCTTCAGTCGCCAGGTGAGGCCACCCGCCTCCTGCCTGGGCCCCTGCCTGGCTCTAGTGGACGGTGGGTGGGAGGCAGAGCCAGTGCCCGTGTGCGTGGGGGTGGGCATCCCCCAGCCCCACCCGCGGTGCCTAGGGTCTCCGGCCCCATTCCCGCCTGTCCCCTTCCCCTGGCTGGGCTCATGGCCTCTTTTCTCTTTCCAGAGGTGAGCAGTGTGGGCTCCCCGTGGGTTGGCCTGGCCACCTGGCCTCGGGGAGCCACGGGCAGCCCTTCCATGGCAGAGGCGAGATGTGGGAGAAGGAAGTCTGGTGCCCACCCCCCCCACCCCTGCTTCGGTCCCTGCACCTGGCCCCTTGCTGCTGGCCTTGCCTGGCGTGGCTCCCTGTGCCCTGGCAGACCCTGGCACCCATTCAGTCCTGACTTCAGTCTGTCGCCAGCCGTCTCTGCGCTGACCCCCACCCGCGTGTGGCCCGAGCTGCTGCTCCCGGCCCCCTGTGGGGAGCCCCTCCCCGGAGCATGACCCAGCGGCTCCTGGCCTTCCGGTGTAGGGCCGGCCCCGTGTGAGTCCCCGTGGCTAATGGCGCCCGCTCTGCCTTTCTCCCTCCGTGTCTCCGTTCCTCCAGGATTGCTGTGGGAACTGCAGCGACAGTGAGGAAGAGCTCCCCGCCCGACTGGAGCTCCCCACCCGCCTCTAGCCCCCAGCCCGAAGCCCCTGCCGGCGGCTGGCGGTAGCAGCCACTCCGACTGCTGCTCACGGTTTTGCACAGTGGTCTTCCCCGTTGTCCCCTCAAGTCGCGGCCTAGGGACACAGCCGGAGCTGCCCGTGTCCTCAGCCCCTGGCCCGGCTGAGTCTGGCGAGGCCTGGGCCATCGCTGGGACAAAGGTGCGTCCCTCCAGCTCCTTGGAGGAGCTCGGGGCTTTCCGTATTTATGTATTTGTTCGAATGTATATAGCGACCAGAGCGCTCGCCCCATGCCAGTCTGGTGCCCCGCTTGGGCTCCCGGGGCAGCCGGCCTGGCTGGGAGAGGGAGAGTGACAGGAGCCACTGCCAAACTCCAGGCTCCTCGGGCCCAGCGCAGACGGGTCGAGGCTGGCCAGGCCCTGAGCCCCCAGCACTGTGCTGGCCACCACTAGCCTCGGAGGGAGACTCGTGCCTGCCCCTGCTGCCCTGGGCTCAGGCTGCCACCTCCCAGGGCCCAATGCTGGGGCCTCCGACTGTGCCCCCTAGGCCTGTGCCAAAGTGTGCCCAGAGATTGGGCTGGCCATAAGACCCATCGGTCCACCGCCCAGGCTGTCCCGATGGGTCCGCCTCTGCCTTCCGGCTCCCAGGGCACCTCAGCCCTGATGCTGGGCCCTGCCCTGAAGACGTGTCTTTCAGGAACACCCGGCCCAGGCCGTAGGAGGGGTGGGGTGTCCCTGACCACCCCGCAGACATTCCGGACTCCCCTCATCAGTAGACACACGTGCCCAGCAATAATCCGGCCCTCCCCGTGTGCCTGTGGGTGTGTGTGCACGTGCGTGTGTCTGTGCGAGTGAAGGGGGCGGGGTGAGGCTGGGCCTGCGCCCCCGCCCCAGCCCTCCCCAACTCTGATGGCAATCCTGGTCCCAGTGTTCGGTAGTGTGGCATTACAGGGTCCTGGGTTTTCCATATTTAAAGCCGACTTTTATTACTCCTGTTGTCCAGTGTAAGCTGCCACGTGTCTCTGTGTGAATACAGTCCGAGCACAAACCAGACCCCCTACCCCTGCTGCCTCTTTCTTGCTTCTGGTGCTCTGGAGGTTGTCCTCTTCACTGGTCCAGTTGGAAGCAGGAAGGACCTGGGCCTGGCGGAGATGGGGGGCTGCCCCTTCATGGCCTGGAGCCCCTGGGACTGGCCTTCAGCCTCTAGGTAGCCAGGCCTTGGTGGCCTTTGGGCTCGCCCGGTGGGCTTCTCAACTTGCTAAGTGGGAGGGGGCTGGGAAGGAAGCCTTGGGTTCACCCCGGGTTGTGGGTCTGCCTCCGACTGCCAGCGGCGGCCCAGCTGGCATCTACTCCGAGGCTGAGGTGGCTTGGCTGCCGCATATGGATTTGGAGCACCCTGGGGAGCAAGGTGGGAGCTGTGTTAGGAACACCTGCCCCAGGCCCGTCCTACCTGGCTAGGGGCTGGTACACGTGCATCAGACTCATGCCTTGGTTTGCCCTTGAATCATTAAATGTGAATGAGGCAAAGGCCTGGACAGCAGTGATACTGAGGAGAGGGCTACATGGGAGGGGACCAGCCACTGGGCCTGGGGAGGATGCTCTGAAGATAGTGGTCCTGAGGGAGACATTCATCCGGGGGGAAGGAATTAGGGAGTGCACTCCTGGAGAGCATCTGTGTAAACCCTTGGGGCTGAGAGTTTGCTACCACAAGTCTAGATTTTGCAAGCCCGTCACTGCTCTGTAGTGCCCGGCCCCCCAGAATGCCCTGTAACCACCATAAGGGTTTGCCACTTCGCCTCTGGGTGTGGCACTCAGTGTGGCAGAAGCCACATGAATGTTGTGACTGGGAGTTCTGGGTTCAAGTTCCACTTTTCAAGTTGGCTTTTCACAGGTCCTTATCTGGAAAGATGGGTGTGATACCCATCACCTTGCGGGTCAGCTACAAGAGCCCCCCCAAGCCACCAGTCAGCCCCTTGAGCCCCCAAATCGCCGCAGGACTGAAGTGCCAGGGGAACGGGTGCTGGTGCCAAGCTGACTGCTATGGTAAGGGCAGCCAGAGGGTGCCTCCGGCCAACTGGGCAGAAGGGGCCTCTTGCGCCAGCCCAGGCTCCTGCTCCAGGGCAGCGGGCAGGGGCTTGCTCAGGGCCCTCCTGCCAGTTCTGCGGCCACTGCAGGGTGGGGCGGAGCCACAGGAAGATGGCAAAGCAAGATCCTGCCGGCATGTCCCGAGGTTGGGGCCTGAGACGTGTATGCTCTGGGCTCTGTTGAGTAGGTGTTGCTGGTGTGCAAAAATGAGCGGGTGCCAGGTGGACAAACAGGACCGTGAGCCATGCTGCCTGCGAGTGGATCCACACGCCCTGGCCCAGCTCCCCCTTGGCTCAGGAGACATTGGGGAAGTTCCTGGTTAGGACTAAGCTCACCTGAAAGCTCTTCCACTGTGGGTCCTTGGCAGAGGAAACCCCCAGAATTCACCTCCCAGAAGCCTCCCCTAAGCTCACCTCCTCCCCGCCCGGCACAGCGGTGGGAGCTGGGGACCCAGATGGAGACGAGGCCCCTGCCAGCTTGGAGCTCAGTCTGGTAGGGAGGCAGACGTGGGAACAGCGGGACCCGATGTGATCAGTACGCAGAAGGGAAGACTCCAGAGCTGATGGGCTGGGGGCGGGGCACCAAGCAGGCGAGGCCCCTTGGCCACGAAGGTGTCAGGGCAGATGTGCCCAGACAGGGAACCAGACGGATGGCCAGGACCTCTAGTGGTCAGGATGGTTGAGCTTGGCGGGAGGGAGGAGGAAAGGAGCGGCTGGAGCTGCGGCTGGTGTGCCAGCAGCTGTGACCTGTGATGGCCTCATCCGGAAGGTGGGGATCCCTTAAGTGGTTGTACCCGAGTGTCTGCTCTGTACCCACATTTCCTTTGGTTCCCCCCTACTCTCCATCCATGTGGTTCAGGTGGGGCTGGACTCGTGGCCACACATACCTAGTGTGTGAGCCAGGTGGGGTGTTGCAAGCGACGGAGCTGCCTCCAGCTAGCTTAGAAAGTGCTCACAGGGCACGGTGGGGGGGGTGCTCTGGGGTCCCAGCTGCAGACCTCATCCTCATCCAGGTGCAACCACCAGAAGCAAGATGCTGCAGCCATTTTTAATGCTTTTGCGTCTTTGAGCCTGACTCCAAACTCAAGGAAGCCGGAAGGCCAGGCTGGACACCTATCCACTGTGCACTGGGGAAGCTGGGCACCTGGGGTCACAGGTCTACTGCGATGGCACCCATAGTGGGCAGTGACTCCCTTGGTGAAATAAGGGTGCTCAAACCCAAAGGAAAGGGAATCGTTATTGGAAAGCCATTCCTACTGGCCATATGGGGCACGTTTCCTTCTCCAAGACATGGCCATTTGGGGTTCACCAGTGGCCACTCGGCCAAAGTGAGTCCAAAAAGAGGTGGAGGATTTGCGGCTGGGTGTGGTGACTTGTGCCTGTAATCCCACTTGGGAGGCCGAGGCGAGAGGATTGCCTGAGCCCAGGGGTCTGAGACCAGCCTGGGCAAGTTGGTGAGACCTTGTCTCTATAATAAATCAAAAAATTAGCAGGACATGGTGGCATGTGTCTGTAATTCTGGCTGCTTGGCAGGCTGAGGCAGAAGCATCACCTGAGCCCAGCAGGTCAAGGCTGCAGTGGCCGTAAGCATGCCACTGCGTTCCAGCCTGGGCGACAGAGTGAGACTCACACTAAAAAAAAAGGCATTTGTGGGATTTTTCTGTTTGCTTTTCTGCTCAAACAATTGGGAAAGAATTGGGGTTCCCCTAAGTCTGGGGATGGATAGCAGGATACGTGCCTAGAGCTTTTGCTTGCCTGAGGATGATACAGACAAGCAGAGTGAAAGGACGGGAGACTGGCCTGACCTGCTGCTGGAACACCTGGCGCCAGCTGTGGCCGGAGGAAGAATCTACCCCGGGCTCGCCAGCTGCCTGAGCCAATCTCCTTTGGGCGCAGTTGCATGAGCCAATTCCCTTTGGGCTCACACCTGTTTGTTTCGGAGTTCTGCCACTTGCAGCTCCGAAGGTCCCAGCTGATTCGGTGGTAGAGGGTGTTTTTTGAAAATCACTTCCAGGACAGTAGAGAAGCTGAACTGGAAACAGGACCCAGGTGAGAGGCTGATGGACAGCCGGGTTCAGGGTGGCCCCAGCACAGCCGGGCCCTCTCTAGGGGTCATGTTCCCAGGAGGGAGCGCGTCCGTGGAGGCCAGGGTTAGGGGTTCCTCCCTGTGCTACTTCCTAGTAGGCATGCGGTGGCGTATGCCTGCTGGGGACGCGGGGAGGGAGCCACAAGCAGTGCCCGCCCACTCAGGCCCCTGCCCGGGGCG